TTCCTGCTTCGTGGAGGATATCTTGTGGGAATATAGCAGAGGGACCAGGCCGAGATAGCGCGCAGCCATCTCGTTCTCTATGCGACTGTCGCAAGCGCTCACTTCGGCGTCGATGCCAACATCGGCGAGGCGCTGGGTCACGTCTCTGAGCTCCACGTCGGAGGCGTCAGTGAGCCGAACGAGGAGTTTGCCGCCGTTCGTCCTGCCGTTGCCATCTGTCAGCCAGTAGGCCCACTCTTCGATCGTTTTGGGGTGCTTGAGGCGCTTGAAAGTCGTAGTAAGGGCGAAGATGTAGTCGGAGAGGTCGACATTGGCGGGGAAGAGTGACTGGGGAACCTCAAGGTCGAGAGGCTTGCGACATTCAGCCTCGTGGACGTTGCTCTCGGACAGTCGTAGCGTGCGGAAGCTCTGGCCTACTTCGCTACTGTCGGGCAGCAGGCTCTGTTGCAGCACGGTATAGGACCGCCGTTCGATGGGTTTGCGCGTGAATCGAATGTAGTGCTTGAGGTACTCGATCTGGTCCCCGAGATCGTGGGCGGCCCCGATTTCGCGGAGCCTGCCCATGTCGGTGTTGCAGTTCATGACGTGGGTCGTAGTAGGGTGGGCGTCGTGGGTGCTTTCATTGATGGGCTTGGACAGGTCGTCAGCGGCATGTGACGGCCTGACCGGCTTGACAGAGACAAGGGCGCCATTACGCAAGTCGGCCGTCTCAAGGACCAAGTTTGTCGCGTAGGGTCGCCTCGAAGGTAGGTTCAAGCACAAGACCACGAAGACGAGGACGGCGGCGACGAGCTTGAGGGCTCTCGCCAGAGGGTTCGGTATGCTGTAGCTGTATTGGGTCAGAGGCAGCAGCTTTGCCTTGAGATCCGTGGTGAACGGTAAGGACCCCGGTTGTGAAGTGGTTCGAGAATGGCCTTTCTCGAGTTGAGCCTGCTGTTGAAGAAAAGGCACCTTCATAGTGTTGTTGGTGCTTGAGGCCGCTATCTCCAGGGGCGCTGGGTTGAAGAGAAAGAGTGGAGGGGAGGGGAGATCGCCAAGTCAGCGAGAAGAGTACCCAGTCTAGGCTCCGTCATGCGTCAAGGTGAGGGGGGGAGTAGTCCTCCACCGAGCAGACGGCGACTGGCAGAGGGCAGTTGTCGAGCAGCTTGCAAAGCCGACACTGGTGCTGCGGGAGGCGAGCCTCTCATAGGAAAATGAGTTGCAGGGCACATGTCGGTTGGGCCCTTCTGGGATGTGACCATGCTACTCTGATTTCAGGAGTCCATGCGCGCATGAGAAGTCGGACGATGAGCGTCGAGAAGAAAAGGCCAGAACGGGCTGCTGTGAGCCAGACGGAGTGGGCGGAGTTGCCGCGGAAGAAACAAGGCGAAGCACGCTGCAAATGTTGCAGCAATAAGATGAATCATTTGCTCCCCGAACCAGACTCTCGAGGCTCGATATTTCGTTCGACCGAGGTGTTTGGCTGTGAAGCGCCTGTTGGTGGCGGTTGGTTGTGCGTGGGTTTGAGACCCTTGTCTGCGCAAGCCGTTAGACAGGTTAGACACGAGAATCGTCAATGCTCCCTTGTCTTCGTCCCATGTCATCATGTCAGTGCAGCTAGCGAGGGGACTACTGTATAACCTTATCTCTAGGTACCCTACCGGGCTAACTAAGGTACGGAGCAAGGTACAGACAATTGCTCAGCCAATAGCAGTGACAATTGTGAGTAGCCATTGCACAATTAAATGGGTTAACTCGAAGAGCAGCCTGTGCATTGGTGAGTGCAGTTACCTTGAGGTACCTTAGGTATCTTGGTGGTGATTTGCCCCCCTGGCAGGCTGCCCAGCAGGCAGCAGTTGTAACCACAACGCTCGGGCCGACTATTCAGCACAGCAATGGTGGCCTCGATTAGAGAAGGCACAGCAAAGTTGAAGCCGAGGGAAGGAATCAGGGGAGGCGAGGAGAGAGGGGCATCATGATGAGTGGGCAGGTGCTTGCCTTCCGTGTGCCTGTATTACACAAGTGGTGCCTGCCTCACTGGACTCAGAAAGTACAATGCGTGGTTCCTACCCAGCCGTCTACGACCTCATCTCAACCGACGACACAGTCCAAAAGCCGATTCTCGAGCATTCGTTCTCCTAAGCAGTAACTCTTCTTCCTATTCATCGCCCTCGACCCCGGCATTCCCCTCATTCTCCCAAAAAGGACAAGGCATCCAACTCGCGCTCGGCGCGTGTCCCAAAATCCCGCCATACTTGCACGTATCGTATCTCTTCTCCTGACGAAACATCACTCTCGTCAACATTATCACCACCTTCGCCATGGCAAATATCCCTAGCACGTTCCAGCTCCTGCTTCGAAGCGTCCCGTACGACTGTCCAGCCAGCATTGCCGCTCCTCCGCATGTCGCCAGAAGTCCGAGCTAGGCAGAAAGCGCGCGCAAACGCTAGCGACCCCTGAATCTCAGACTCCCGATAGAACTCGTGCCACGGGCCAGCTCCCTCGAGCCACTTGTCCAGCCTGTCGAGCCTCGCCAGTGCCCCACACCAGTCTGCGTGTCGCAGCGCACTAACGGCCTGCGCCCGCTGCCGCTGAAATGACAGGTACTTCCAGTACGCCTCGATCTGGGGACGGCTCATAAGGCCCGCCGCTGCCTCCTCCGCCGATGGCCTCCCGGCAAATACCTGCTGAATGCGCATCGCCGACTGCCGCTGTCCCTGACCCCACGTCGTCGCCGGTGCCTCGGCATCGTCCACGCCGCGCCCCAGGATCGCCGCCACCTCCTGCTGAAGCTCTACAAGCTTCCCTCTGAAATCCTCGCCTGACAGTGCATCACCCGATCGTGCCAGCTGCAGTCTGGCGTACGCCTGGTTGTGTTCGCTCAGTAGCCTGCGCAGCTCACAATTGCTGTCGAGGAGCTTCGTGTTGAACACCTTGTGTGCATCAAGCGACCTCTCCAGGGCGCTCCGTACCTCCTCCCCCACCTCGTCATTGCTCATGTTAGCCGCTATTCCGCTCGCGACTAAATCATTCCAGAGACCATTCGTCCTCTCCTCAACCCCCGCGAGCACCTGAACCGCCATCGACTCTCTGACCTCGACGAGCTCCGCCTTTGCTCTCTCCATGTCAAGTGTCTTGATTCGCAACTCATTCTCGAGCTCGCAGCGTGCCGCAAACGAGGCCTTGGACGCGGCGCCCTCCTTCTCTGTCTTCAGCTTCTCCAGCTCGCTCGTGAGCCTCTCGATCTGGCCCCTGTGATTCTCACTCGTGTATTTGTCATCGCTCACCTCCGCTGCCGTGGCCGTGGCCGTGGCCGTGGGCGACATGGTCTCCGTTTCGGACTGGGGTAAAATCTTCATAAAGTCGCCGCTCGCCTCTTGCAGCGTCGCCATGAGGTCCTTGGCCTTGGTCTCTGCAATATCCACCCTCAGCTCCGCCGTTCGACATTCCTCTCTCGCCTGCTCCACCTGCCGCTCAAGCACCTTGCCTGGGGCGTGCGCCCGGTTGAGGCTCCTTTGCATGGCGGTGATACGGTCTGTACTCACGTGGCGGTCCGCTATACCCTGCGCCTCGACTCGCGCAGTTGCGAATGTAGCTCTTTGCGCCTCGCGCTGGCACTCGTCGGCCCGCTTCCTGTCGGCGTCCTGCGCGTCAAGCAGCGCCGAGATGTCCGTCGTGTCCTTGATACTCAGCATTTGCGCCTCGAGCCGCCTCTTGTCATCACTTAGCTTCTTGACCTCGTCCTCAAGAACCTGCAGCTTCGCCTGAGTGTCTGCCTCGGCCGACCTCTCGCTGGACTTTGATTCTTCCTCAATCTCCTGGTCCAGGAGGCCTGACGCCAGGCTGCGGATGCTGTCCGGTACGCTCTCAAAGAGCGAGGCGATGCGTGCGAGCTCGTCGGAGATGCGAGTTGCGACATCGGCCGGGGGCGGCAGGGTGGTGTTCTGCAGCACCTCACTGAGCTGTTCAAACGAGTAGATTGAGCGCTCAAGCTTGCTGGCCTCGGTCAGAAGTTTATGGCTTTGTTCGGAAAGGTTGTTTCGGACCCGCTGCGCGACGAGCCTTCGATACTTGTTGATGCTGACAACGGCTTGCTTCATCATTGAGTTTTCCATCGAGTGAACGACGAGCCACAGGTTCTTCCGCTCATCATCGCGGTCTCGAAGGTCTTTCTGGACCTGTGCGACCGTTGTTGTAGCATGATGAAGTTGTTGTTCAAGTTCAATGAAGTGTTGGAACCCCAAGTTCTGCACCCTCAAGGCATTCTTCGCCCGTTCATCTGCGTTCTGTCGCAGCCGTTCCTGGGTATCAAACAAGTCCTGTCGAGATTCTTGTCGTCCACGGGATGAAGTGAGCAGGGCGTCAACAAGCCTATCGAGAGATGCCGCGTTTGAGGGCTGGCTAACAAGATGAGCATGCAGAGAATTCATGGCAGTGCGCAGGCGACCGTCCTTATCCCCCATCATCTGAGGGTTGGGGGGGATATGTTGGGTTGTGGTCTCGTCCACAGCCTCTTCCGCCCGCGTACGATCTGCGAGGGCCTTGCTAGCATCGGCGTGTGCCTCGGCAAAGGCCACAGAGTGTGGTTCGTCTTGTAGTCTCGACTCTTCAAAAATCTGGCCAAGTGTGTCTTGTATCATCCTAGTCAGGAGTGCTACCTCTGCAGAAGCCATCGCATCCGCACGCGAGCGGGCAACCCGGGTATCATAGTCCTTCTGATCTTGCTCGAGCCGCGCGTCGTAGTCAATCTGCATGGACAGCTTCTGCGCCCGGAGACGATCCTCTTCAGCGATGGCGTCATATGTTACAGCGTATGTTCTCTGTATAAAGGCATTAAAGTACGCCACGGGCACCGAGTCTCGGCCGGCAGCCCACCGGCGGAGGCGCTCGATCATGCCGTCGTTAGCCGTCTCGTGCGACCAAATGGCAAACCAGTCAGCGTCGGAAACCTCTTCGCCTGTCTGCTGCTCGAACTGTTGCCTTCGCGCGAGCGCCTTCTCCTCGGGAGAGGGACCTGCCTCGAGATCTGCCCGAAGGAAGTGCACACGTTTTGTGGCTGTTCCGTGTGGATTATCTTCGTCGACGTCCCATGACCCTTCGTTCGATCCGCCCTCCTCCAAAATGCCCGCCTCCTCCGCATCCTTTTCGAAGTCGTGAAAGTCTGCCTCGTAGTTGGCTATGATGCGCTTCTTCTCGCCATCGTTCATGAGTACGGGCTTGGCCCAAACACGCTTGCGCAGTTCTCTCTGATCTCGGCTCGGGAACGGTCTCACTTTTCCATAGTCGACTGTATCTGCTTTCTTCTCTGAGTGCTCGCTCTGCTGTTGACCATGAGGTGGATTTTCGTCACCCTCGACGGTATTGTGGTCACTTGCCATGGTGTGACAACCCTTCCTTGTTGTTAGTGAAGATGGAAGCCGTGGTTTGAAGTTGGAGTAGAGAGTCTGATAAAAGCAAGAGGTAGATAGGGTGGGAAAACAGCCTCCTAGACAGGCCATCGCATGCTGCCGTTTATTAAAAGACGACAGGACGACTAGCGAAGCACCTACTTCTGAAGCCAAGTATCGATGACCGTACCCTCAAAGAAAGAGGCCCGAGTCGAGGCTCAAGGCACAACAAAGGAGGTGGCGGCAACATTGTCGAGCCAGCCCGACTACTCTGCGAAGACAAAGACGAAAATTAGCAAAGCTCATCCAGTGTCTCTGACGAATCAACTATTCTATTTTTCATGACAGAAATTTGGGAGTACTCTGTGTTCTGAAATGCATACCTCCTGGAAGTCCAGCTTCCCACTGAACGGCGCTGCTCTTCGTCTATAGTCGGCTTATGCCAAGCTCACTTGGTAAACCAGATGTCGTTCTCGTCAAGTCCAATGGGCTTGACCGCCTCCTCCCACCACTTGAGGTACGCCGTCCCCTCGACTCTCCTCAGCTGTGGCTTCTCCCAGCGGTAGGCAACGATGCGGCCCTCGGCGTTTCGGATCCAGCACGACTCACCTGCGAGCGGATCATCACCCCCGGGTGTCGCGTCCGCGATCTTGACCAGCCCACCCGCTGACGCCTGGTCGAGGACGTGCTCCTCAACAGGGCTGAAGCTCACCGTCTTGGTCCCCTCGTCCGGCCTCCTCACAGTCGCAGTCGCAACCGCCGCAGCCGCCGCCGCTGCTGCTGCTGCTTCCTCCTCCATCCTGTCCTGACACTCCCGCGTCAGCCCCTCAAATGTCAACGGCAGCCCAAGCGCTCCCGCGCACGCTCGCGCCGCGCACGTAGCACGCGTGCGCGCGCCTCCACGCGCCGAGCCCGCGGAAACAGTGGCCACGGTACACCTGCGCGCGCGCCGCCTGCTGCCAGCGGTGAAGCTCGACGGCGTCCCTGTGCGCCTCGCTGGCGTGCGCCAGGGCGTCGAGGTACGCGTCTCGGCCCCGTCGCTGGTCGGGAGGGCAGGCCCCGCCGGCCGCCGTCAGGGCCCTCGCCAGCTCGAGGGCGGCGTGGGACCGCAGGAGACTGCCGTTGATGGACGAGAGGATGATTCTCTTCTCTGACCTCGACAGCTTGAACGGCAGACGCAAGACGGGGGGGTGGGCAGGCGCTTCTGCCATTTGTGTGTAGGCGCTTTTCTCCTCTCTCTTCGTCTGTTTGTTCTCCTTTCTTTCTTGTCTCCTCCCTGGTATTCCCTGCTTTGTTGTAAGAATGACTATTCGGTTGCTGCAAACGGACACGGAGCAACTGTGGCTGGCATGCCCGGCAACGTGGAATCGAGGGGTGTGGATGGGCGCAATTTTATGTACGAGGCATCATTGGCACAACACAAGAGTAAAGAGCAGAACAATGGCGGAGTGTGTGATCAATTTCTTTGGGAATGGATTCCCCCCCCTTCTGGAGGATGAACGTGCGTCTCGATGCGAGGAATGACAGTCTACCCGTTTGGGAACAAAGGAGTCTGAGCTGACAGCCCCTGCTTGACTACCTTAAAGAGTGGCTGTTTTGCCTCACAAGTCCAGAAAGGCAAAGCCGTTCCCGAATGCTCCATCAGATTCCTGCTTCACCCGATGGCAAGAAAAAGGAAGAAAAGGCGACCATCGGTCTTGCATCTGAAGCCCGAATGGTCCAACAAAGATGATTTTCATCTAAAACAAGGAGGAGGACGCCACTTCCTATAACACCAAAAACAAATAAAACGAAGCCAGGTATCAGAAATAAAGGAGAGAAGAGTGAGCGAATCAGCATATCAGCTGATAAAGAGTCGAACCATGTCTGCCCTCGTTCGGTACCCTTGATTACCAGAGCGTCTCGCTGTCCACCAACTTGCCCCGCGTTGCGGCTTGCTCTGACTTGAGACTCGTCCTGTGACCCGACAGCGACTGAGAGTGTGGCCGAGAGCCGTGCTGGGCTGTCGGGCTTGCCCTGGGCTGTTGCATCTGATTCATCTCAAAGGTAGGGCTGGTCTTGGGCGACTGTCTGAGGAAGGTTGAGCTGAGCCTTTGCGAGTGGCGTCTCTGCTGCTCCTTCCAGAACGTTGGGCTGTTTTTCTGCGTCATTCCAACAGAGAGAGGCTGTTGCGTGGTGGTTTGCGTGACGGGGCTTTGTTTGACTGTGGTTGCCATGGTGGCATTCTGCAGTGGCATGGTTGCCGACGTGGGGGTCGTCATCTTGTCAAAGGCTGTTTGATCGGGGCTTCGACTATATTCGAAGGTCGCTACTGGCGAACGGAGAGGTGCTGGGCGGGTGTAACGCTTGCGCAAACGAGGTGACGTGGGACCCCAAGCTTTGCCAAAGGCCACGCCGGGGTGGAAGATTGCGAGGAGGGCACAGACTACGAATGGAAGTGCACCGTTGACTACCATACAAGCAGCCTCGTTCTGTGCGAGAGGCCCGTCGAAGCCACTGGCTGTTTCCACGATCCGGTAAATCGTGTGGCTGAGAAGCAGTACTGTCGCAGCTTGCGTACCTGGAAAGATTTGTCAGTCAACTCAGATCACCCGAGTGCACCTGTAGAATGCTACATACCCAGGAGGAATCGCTTGAAGCGTGCTGATCGGTACACCGTGGCGTGTTTTGGGTCTAGTTTGCTACGTTCGCCGTTCAGGTTGATGGTGAACCAGGAATGAACAGCAACGAAGACCACTAAACCAGCAGTCTGTATGGCAAGGCCCGTCACCAGGATGTTGGCGTTCTGCGGGGCCTGGCTTTGTTAGAAACAGATGGCCAGGAACCCCCCGGGTCCAGCAGGACGAAAGACTCACCTCCAAGACAGCAAAGGCAACGCAAACTGTTCCGATGATTTCAACAATGGCAGCAACCAGAGCCACAGCAGATAACACGAGAGCGATGTGCTTCGGCTGGACAGAGCTGGCCCTTGCACCGTAGACCGAAAGGGCGTGCGGCAGGATGATGAAGATGGAGGCCGCAATGAACGTCGAGCCGAGGACGGTGCCGAGAAGGAACAGGGCAAAGTAAGTCTTGTTGGCGACGTTGTCAAAGAGAAGCAGTCGTCCAGCAAAGCCGAGGACTTCTAGAAGTAGGCCAGTCGTCAGTATGGAAGCGAAAATGGGCGTCTTGAATCGATAGCCGAGGGCCAGGGTCACGGGTACGAGCAGGGCGAAACCAGCGAGGAAGACGGAGTTGCCTGGTCGGGTAGGACGGTAGCTGAGAAAGCCTTGGCTCACTGGACAGGTGTCTGTGGTACAGTCACCTGCCATGACTTGGTCTCGCTGGGCAGGCAGCGATGAGTTGATCTCATCATGGACCTAGCTGAGCAGGCTTGGTGAAAGGGAAGGGCAAGGACAAGAGGGCGAGCTCGGCAGGCTTGGGGCTATATACCTTGATTCGAAGTGATTCGAGCAACAGTGGAGGGGGGAAACGCACGTTGAGGGCGAGGGCAAGGTGCGAGGGCGGGATTGACAAGGAGGAGGGCAACGCAGGCGAGACCAACACGTTGACAGCCAGCATGCCCCGACCGTCCGGTTCTACAAAGTAATGGTGCATTGGATATACCATGGATGTTTTGGGGGTGCACAAAGGCCTCACAGGTGCAGAGTCCCACTCGCCCTCCACCCCTTTACCCCGACCCGAGGCAGCAATGTCCACTTGCGCGCATGTAGTCTGCCGTGTCGGGGTGTGTTGTGTTGTCTCGTGTTGTGTGCCAACACCAGGTCAGCAAGCAGCTAAATTGCTGCGACCAACCCATGATCATCTACCCAAGTAGGTAGGTTTTTGACCGGAGAATGAGGAGCACGAGAGGAAGGGGGGCATCAACCCCCCCCACCTCCAGTTGCGCCGGTTGAATGATTCGCAGAGACGCAAGCACCCACGGCACCCTCCCAACGACAAGAAAACCTTTCTAGATTTCAGGCAGTTTCGGCATGGACTAGAGGAAGGCTGTTTGGCCCCCACCGCCACCACCACCTTTCAGATCGGCTCACACGGGAAGGAATCATCGGACGGCCGTCCGACTAAGGGGGGGGCGCACAACGGCTTGTGGAGAGGTCTTCGGGCGGAGGAGTTGGCGTGTTGCGGACCCGACAGGCCGGTTGGGCTATGCCGAAGGAGAGTAGCGATCTGCAGACCAGGCTCAGACTGTCTCTCTTCAGGCTTTCCCCCCCCGGCGACACCCCATACGGCCGCGAGAAAGCACCAATGATGGAAGGCCGACTGGCGGGAGCACCCTTTAGCCACAACGGCGCATATGACAGGGTAGCAATGAACGAGACCTTAGTCTGCTGTCGGCGCTTCTGGCGTTCCTCTGGTCCAATGAGTTGAGTAGTGTGGTGTGTGCGGCAAAGGCTATCACGCGTCTGTGCCACAGCCCCGCAGGCTCTCATTGCCAGGCTCTCTTCTCGAGGTCCTCTCTCTTCTAGGCCCTTTGCCAACCCCCTGGCTGAGTTGCAGGGGCGGCAGATTCCGTATCATCGCGCACCAGTCGTTGGTGATGGCATGCATGCAGCTAGGGTTGTTTGCCTGCTGGCTGCCGAGCTTGCCTTGATTGCTCACAACGATGAACACCTTTCGTTAGGCAGGCCGTCGTGCCAAGGAGGGCAGGTAGGGCAGAGATCTTCGGGAGGGGCGGGCGGAACGGTTCCTGGACTGAAGAAAGTCGATGGCGGCAGATGCATCTTCTCCATCTTTCCACTTGCCCCCCTCTCAGGTATGCGCAAGATAAACAAGAGGTGGCGGTCCACATGAGGTGCACGGTTGGTGGTTAGTACAATGCATTGTTCTGTTGTCACCTGTTCTGGACAGCCGGCTTCCCCTCTTCTTCGCTCATCTTTCCCCATCTGTGTACCATCTGTGTCCATCTGTGCCCATCATGGTTCGAGCACACGATCGTGTGATGGAAATGCCAATGGTTGCATGATGCAGATAACTCGAAATGAGCATGTCGATGGGGCCAAGGGGGGGGCGGCTGCGGGAGGCTGGCTCGTCATCACCGCTCGAGTCAGGTATTGACGTTGGCGCCAACAGACAGAAGGCAGCATGGAGACGGGCCGGATGGAGAAGGCGGAAGGAAAAGAGGCACAAGACGCGGAAAAAGGAGACGAGAGAAGAATTGCATGCGGAACAAGGAGAAGCTAGAGGCGCGCACCTACTTTGGACTTTGGAGGGAGACAGATGGATAAGGATACCTTGGGTAGGTAGGTACCTACGTATGTAGGTCGGGAGGTCGTCAAAGGGCAGCAGCAGCGCGAAGGGAAGATCGCTTGAGGCAGCAACTGTCGAGGGCGAGGCTGCACCCACAGCAGGCTGCAGTCACAGCAGGCAGGCAGGCGGTCAGCCTCTTCTTCACCCTTCAGCCTTTTCTTCGCCTCGAGCCTTTTCTTCGCCATGCAACGCCCAGACTTCCTCCCGTCTTTCGTCTCTCTCTGGTTCCGCGGTGCCTGTTCTTGTGGCTGAGGCTAGCCCCGGCGGACTCGGCCGTCGCGCTACTCCTCGACGCTGCCGCGGCTACACGGAGCTGCCAAGGGCTTAGCATCTCGACAGACGCGCCCTCGGCAGGTTCAGCACGTCTCGAGTCGGGTTCAAAGACCAAACGTGCATAACTTACTCGACGACCCTTGCACAAATGTCACCCTACACGGTCTTTTTCGTGGTTTGATGGTCACAATGACAGACAATGACAGTTGCGCAAGATGCGCCCGTCCGGGGGTGGACCAACCCACGCCCTCTGACTCTTCGCCTGTTGCCTTGGAACAAATCACGACAAGTGACGGTGCCCAGCTCAGCGTCGCGATTATGCTCCTGAAGGCATGTGCCGGAGATGCGCACCTAGGTCTCTGCTTGGCACCTGATAGTGATGGTTCTCTGGCGTGGCCTCGTTGGCGCCGCCCTGCCGCGCCATTCGCCCGCCTGTGATGCTGCGGATCTTGTGCAAGACGGCATGTCAAGGTTGCAGAAAACACCACATCTCGAACGAGGATCAGCATCGTATGCCGAAGCTCCAGACCCAGACCAACCCCTCGTGCAAGTGGGGGCCGCAAAGTCAAAGGGCCAAGTGCAGATGTGACTAACATGGTGCGAGGGGATCTTGCCCCGTGAGGAGGGAGAACGGATCACGTCTGACAAAAGCATCCTCATGTCTGCCGGGTTCGGACGGCTGTGAGGGTCCTGTGCACGTGTGCACGCTGTCTACAGATTGACGTAAGGCAGATTCGAGGGGGGCTCGAGGGCGTTCTGGAATACTCGGGGGTCGCGATGAAATGTGTCTCATGTTGATGCGTAGGCCGTGTGTCGTCGGACTAGGCAACCCACGATACACAATTCAACACTTGCACGGCTTTGCTGGAATAGAGGTCTGTCGCTGCCGATGCATACATGGAAAAGAAGTAGGTGACACGAGAGCGTTCGAAGCTCTATGCCCCGAGCCCAACGTTGCCATCATCCGATTCACGTTCCATTGGGCGGCGTGAAGGTACATTGCGTGGCCGCAGCCCCAATACCGTCGAGTGCCGTTGATCGTGAAGCCGCCCTGAGACTAGCCACGTAGTACCAAACCGAGTTGCGCATTCACAAGATTTTTCAAAGTCCATGCCAGCGAGTCAGCATCGCATACTCAGAGTTTCCTGCACGAGAAGTCGAGAGTGTGATTTTGTGGCTAGCCGTCTCGAGGGACTGCTGGGAGACTCAGAATGAATTCTTGCACGAGAAGCCTACCATCTGTCGTGTACAGTCCAAATACGTCTCGCAGTATCGGACTTGCATCTGTGCCAGAGCAAACGACGCCCATGAACTCAGCAGGGAGCTGCACTTGAAAGGCACGATGGACCAACGCAAGTCTCCCTCAACGGCAGACAAGTCATTTCATAAAATCGTCTTCACCTTTCGAGGTGTTGTTAGAGCGAGGCCCGACGAGCTACGAGGTACCTAGGTAGGTACACCAGCTAAGGGCAAGGCACCTGAGGCACCATGTACATCACCAGGCAATAGCCAGTAGCGGCCAAGCCCCGGCAGTAGCCCAGACCCGCCACAAACGGCTGGATTCGGTGACGTCAAGAACGAGACGCGCTGGCGCTTGCCATTTTGCCTACGTGCCCACCTGCCTCGGTGCCCATCTTCGCCTCTGACCGAAATCCAGTGATGCACGGCGAGTCGACTAGACGACGATCATGCCCCCAATCTCCATGTCCACAGTCCTGCCATGATCTCGAGGGCGCGCCCAGCGACATGGGCTTTCCGAGCGCCACCAGCACCCGTCGCAGCGTCTCGAGCAACGCGGTCGAGGGCTCTGCGCACCACACCACAGCCATGGAAGGACCACCATGATCCGAGGTTCAAGGAGGTCGGAAGGGAGATCCTGGACGATTACGCCCAAGTCAGAGACCACTATGGTACCCTTTCCCCTCTCCCATGAACGTTCGCCGGCGTCCCTGCCCCCCCAAGCTGACCGAACGCAGAGTCGCCCAAGAACGCGCTCGTCCTGGCCCACGGGCTCCTGGGCTTCTCCGAGATCCGCGCGCCCCTCCAGTTCCTGCCGGCGATACACTACTGGCACGGCATCACCGACGCCCTGCAGACCCTCGCGCCCTCGCTGCCCATCATCACGCCGTCCGTGCCGCCGACGGGCTCCATCGAGCAGCGCGCCGAGGCCCTCGCCGCCGCCATTGAGGCCGGGGCGCCCCGCGGCCGCCCCGTCAACATCATCGCCCACTCCATGGGCGGCCTCGACGCGCGCTACATGATCTCGCGCGCTGCGGCCCGCCGGCCTTCGCGTCGCGGAGCCTCGTCACCATCTCGACGCCCCACCACGGCAGCGCCTTTGCCGACTTTATGCTGCACGCCGCCCGCCTGTCCGACTGGTACGGCGTCATGGGCACCGTCGGCCTCGGCACCGGCGCCTTCGACCAGCTGACGACGGCCTACCTGCGCGACGACTTCAACCCGGCCACGCCCGACGACCCGGACACGCGCTACTTCAGCTTCGGCGCCGCCACCGACCTGCCCGGCCTGCTGAGCCCCTTCCGCCACAGCTGGCGTGTCGTCACGCGCGACGAGGGCCCCAACGATGGTCTTGTTAGTGTCAGGAGCAGCCGCTGGGGGGACTACCGCGGCACCCTCCGCGACGTGAGCCATCTCGACCTCATCAACTGGACGAACCGCCTGCGCTGGGAGACGAGGCGTATCTGGACCGGGCAGCGCCGGCCCTTCAACGCCGTTGCCTTGTATCTCGACATCGCAGACATGCTGGCCAAGGAGGGCCTCTAACCGGTGTCGGACGGAACTTCCAAACGGACACATCGTGGTTCTGGTTGAAACAAAAAACGCCGTGTACGCTGTCTCAGGGCATACATGAAGAGCCTGCGGAAAGTGAGAAGGAAATGAAATATAGACAGCGGTTATCGTGCGCCCTACATCTAGATTCAACGGAAGACAATGCCCATTTAGGAACCGCAACGCCTCTTTAGCCTGTAACACCTCCCGTCCGCCCCTGGTATCTATGCCCGCATCATGCCATTCATCGTGCAGCTCATTACAGTATCTCCCCTCACGCTCATTCGCCCCCTTCCCTCCCTAGCTCTTGGTCGGCACATCACTGGGCGCGTTCTCGTTCGTGACACCGCTAAACGCCGGTCGCGCCTGGGCCGTCCCCTCAAACGGCGCACCTGCCGTGTCCGCCATGGCCTCGTCATAGCTCGGAGGCGCGTCGTCCGGCGGCGGTGCACCATCGTTGCTGAGTTGCGGCGGATACAGCGGGTCATGCTGTGGTTGCGGCGGGGCCTGGTGCGGATGCGCCATCGTGTGCGTCGATGCCGACGAGGCCATGCCCGCCGTGTTTGTTCGCGGCGGTAACCTTGGGGGCCGGCTCAGAGTCGCCGCCGCCGGTTTGTTCTGCTGCTCCTGCAGGGACTGTAGCAGCCCTGGCGGAGGAGCAATGTTTGAGTAGACCTGGACCTTGGCAAAGGTCAGCGGCAGGTAGATGGTCTGCGGCGGCGGCTCTTTGCGGGCTAGCAGGCCTCCAGAGCGTGTGGGCGCGCCCCAGCTGAGGCCCACCTTGAGCTCGAGCTCGTAGGTCCGCTGGAGGTTGCACGTGGCGAAGGAAGGCGCGACCGTGTTGGGCAGAGGGACGTGCCGCCAGACATCATCGGGCACAACAGACTCGACGCCCACCTCGTCCGTCGCTGGGTTCTGCAGCAGGGGCGTGTTGAGGTTGACCTGATGCACAATGGTCCAGCGGCTTGGGTGCTTGTAGTTCAGGTCGTGAGCTCGCAAGGTCATGGTGCCCACGAGTTCGATTTGCAAAGAGGTCAGATACACCTGTTCGTTCGAGGGCACCAGCTTCTTCGCGATGAGCCGCAGCGGAACGGGCTGGTTGCAGGTGAGGATGGGGGGATGAGGAAGACGAGCAGACAGCTCGATCGAAGGCGGGGCGGCCTCGGCGAACGCCTTACTCGAGGCCTCCTCCTTCTCCTTCTCCCTTTCCCTCTCCTTGTCTTTGGCTGTCATGAAGAAGGAGCTGCGCTTCTTCTGTAAGGGAGGTGCAACGGCTGGCGTGGAAATGCGCGGCTTGAAGGTAAAGGGGCGGCGCGCAAAGGCTTCCTGGGTGGTGCGGGGAGGGCGAGGGGGCTCGATGGGCATGAACTTGAAGCCGATCTGGTAGCGCCAGTTCTCCTTGAGCAGGCCTGGCCGCTGAATGGTCACCTTGACGTAGTAACGCACCTCAGCAGCCATGGGCATGCCTGTGAAGGAGGGGGGCAGTGTCTTGGTGACGTGAGGCATGAACAGCTGCTTGCTGCCGTCCATGACACGCATGCCACCAATGCCAAATATGCCACCCCCGGCGCCAAAGCCACCGAGGCCGCCGAGGCCTCCGATCTTGGACATGGCGACGGGGTCGCTGCAGGCGTTGTTGAGGGGCAGCTTGAACTTGAAGGGAAACTCATGCTGACCGTTGGGAAGGACAAAGTTGCCGCCGACAGAGCCGTTGGCGACATCGTCCTCATAGGTAGGGAAGACCTGTTGGACCTTGTACAGAATCTTGTGGTTCTCACTCAGCACATTGCCAGGGGGGCCGCTGCCGGGAAGCCGGGGTGGTTGCGGGGTGCCGTAGTCATCGAAGCCACCGGGAATGGCGAGAGCCGTTTTGGACTCTCCTTCGAGCTTGACAATGATGCCGCCGACGCTCTCGGGGCGACTCAAGGACAGAATGATGCGGCCGTCGATTGAGTCGAGGTTGGTGTAGAACTCGGGTTGGTTGTCCAAAGCTATGCGGATCGACATGGTGGCGGGTTGCACCCGAGAGCAGCGGCCAGGTCACGTCAGGAGAGCGGCCGGGTGGATGTGAGGCGTCGGGAGTTACTTGTAGGTACGTGGTGGAACCGTGGGGCCGTGAGACTGTGAGACTTAAAGCCGTAGGACTGTGACTGTTGAGCCGTGGGACTGTGGGACTGTGAGTGAGACCGTGAAGCTGTGAGATGGTCGTGAGTGAGCGACGAGGAGCAGAGGTGGCTCGGGGCTGCTTGGTGGTGACTGTGGCTGCTTCGAGCGAGGCTTGTCGAGACAAGAGACGTGGCGAGCGAGGGATTTGCGGAACGCGGCTTGATGAATTGATTCGATGGAAGATGATCGAGAATGGATACAGCTACTGACAAGCGAATAGTAGAAGTCCGGGTCCAGGCGTCTTTCTTGTTTCGTGCTTGTCCCCCGAACGCCAGAACAGAGACCAGCCGCGCGGTACGCGCACTGGGCCACGTACCCCAATACCTGGTCTGTAGGTATGATCCGAGGCGAAGCAGTTGGCGGGCTGACGATGCGCGATGAGACAGACAGGCAGACGAGCAGACTCGACAAATTGGCAGACATACAGTGGGACAAACTGACGTCCCTTCGTCACCAGGATGAAGGTGGTCACTGACGACCAAGGCAGGCTGTGCATGTGCAACCCACTTCGGTACGTGCCCACTTGCCCAATTGCCCGCCCACCTGCTACCCTGCTCACGTACCTTGCCAAGACACAGGTAGGTGCCTGCACACCTCATCATTGTCTCTCGCGGGCCACGCTCTGCTTCGTTTTGGTGGCGCCCGTGGGGCTGATGTCATTGTCATCTGTCCGCCTCGTCCCTGCTTTCCATTGTTGCACTTGCATGCTGCACTCAGGTGCAGTACGGCAGCCACCTGCCGCCGAGCTTCCACAGGCACCAAGAAACAGTACTAACCTGACCTAACTACCTGGGGTAGGTAGGTATCAGACGGCACGTTCATAGAGGTATCGTTCTTGCCTAGGTACCTAGATAGGTGAGCAGGCGCAGTCGCAGTCGCAAAGGCTGTCTTCAAGAGGAGCACAAAGTAGTGTAAGCCATGCCTCACTATTATCCTAGCTACCTAGATACCTAGGTACCGCAATTCAGCTATCTAATCTAGCAGGGCAAGGAAGCCATCGAAAATCCTTCTTGGCCAGGCCTGGACTCACTTCCCTTCGCCGCTGCAGCATTCACCCAAACCATGCCACGACTGCCATGCCGCGACGACCTTGCCGCCCGCCGTTGAAATAGTCGCCAGACGACCAACATTCCATTCCTCCCAAACGCCTAAGCCATGTGGTATCATCGCAAAACTTGTTTCAAGTGAGAAAGGGACAGAGAGAGAACGGGAGAAAAAGAAAGGAGAGAACAAGCTGGAAAAGCAAAAGCCATAAAAAAGAAAAAGAAAACCATTTCGCCCTGCCACGTCCAAGCGTGGCACAGGAGAGACTGACCCAAAAATGGAAATGACTATTTCAGTCCAAGACAATCACCTCGACCGCCCCCCGAACCTCCGTCTGGTGGTCCGTCTTGGGCCGCTTTGGCGGCCTTCGCGGTTCTGCTTCCACATCACTCTCGTCCTCGCTGTCGGGCTGCTCCGCCTTGGGGCTCCATGTTCCGTCTGGCCCGACGTTGATGCTCTTGGTGCGTGTCAGACCCTGGCGCATAAGAGCTTCTCGCACTTCCACCATGAACCCGTCAACTCGAAGGCTGCCTGGTCGGGCGTCCTTGTCGCACAGTGGGCATTTCCACTTGTCCGTCAGCGACGGCTCCGCGCCCAGTGCCCTGCTGCGTCTGCATAGCCCACAGCCGCACTTGAGCGAGTGAACCGATGCTGACTTGCCGAGCCTCGTGCCGAGCCATACCTCAAGGTCGAAACACTCTAGGTGCGTGCACGAGGACCCGCGCACCGGGATCTTGAACATGGTGGCCGTGAAGGGGTCTGCCAAGTCGATACTGAGATTGCTGAAGATGATGGGCGCGTCGTCGTCGTCTCCACCGCTCTGGCCCACCGGTGTCAGTCGCTCTCGCACAATGCGCCTCGTCGCTTCCGCAGGAAGTACCCCTCGCTCAGAGACCATGGCCATGATGCGGCTATGGGTCAGCGTCACCACCTTTTCCACCGCCACCATCGTGGCATGTCCGGCTTTGGGCGCCACGCTCGGCACAGACAGCTTCACCACGTTCCGCCCTCCTCGAATCAGCCTTGTCAGCTCGGCTGGCTGGTCCTGGCCGTTGTGCAGTTTGCGCCGAATCTTGACTGCCTGACTGTTGCACATGATGTAGATATGGGCTGGCCACTGTGTCGACACTGTCGACCACGCTGCTTCCGACAACGACCCACGGCTATTGAGAGAGACCTCGCAGACACGAAGCCGAAACCGAAGTGAACCGTCAAAATAGTCGCACAGAATCTGTCGTTCGCCCGGAGGCATGCTATACGTGCTCAGGCGCTTCAGTTCGTCGTCAGAGACCTCAAAGTCGAGCTGATGAATGGACTGATCAGGGTTGATGGCCAATGGCCCACTGACAATCTCCCCTAAGCATTGGTAATGCTTTTCCTGCGTAGATACCGACTGTTCAAGGGGGTAGTCGTCTCGGGACACGCCGTGGGCTGGCCACATCAACCTGATGAAGAGCCATATCGATCGACTTTTTGTCATAGGGCGACATCGCCATCCGGTCGATACCTAGCGTCACGCCCCGGGGCGGTAGCAGACTATTTGGTCTCGTTACTTCGGAAGTCGCGGGAGCAAGAACAGAAGGGGTGATTGCTATTTAGCCTCGGTCGTGCAGAAGGCTGGAACAATGCCAGCAACATGTAGGCTCGCTTTGCCTGGTCTTGCTG